GGCTCCCTGCTCCGTCCGCATCCATCACCTCTGAGACCTGCAGGGCCGGCCCTTCACCAAGCGATTACGTCAGCGGCCCCTGCGCCCACAGCCGCAGCCCGGACTCTCTGAAGTTGGGGGGCAGTGGTCTGAGGGGCCCTCCCACCCTCCGGCCACGGGGGGAACTGGTCAGCACCACCCAGTGTCAAATGGCCATCGTGCAGGGAGGGGCGGACGGAGGGTGCTGAGCCCAGGACCGCCAGGTGCCAGCAGCGGAGCCCCGATCCCGGCCCAAACCCGGTGGAAAGAATCAGAAACCGGTTGACACCGCCTCCGCCCCTGCCAAGGCCCAGTGTTCCGCCTGCGTCTCCACCTGTGGTCCTGCCTCCCCCCTCCCCGGAGCCGGTGAGAAGCTCCTTCCCCGCAGGCTGGGGGAGTCTGGGGGTGCCAGCTGCCCTCCCCTCTCCGGCCTCCTTCCTGCAGAGGGGGCTCCCCATCCCTGACCAGATGCCCAGGCACCGGGGAAACGCACTTTCCCGTCTCTGCACTGGCCGGGGTTTCACTTACTGCTTGTGCCCAATGGCCAAAGCTGGAACAATTCAAGCAACAACATAATGTGGTTTTGGATTAAACCCAAATTATAAAATAAATATTTATGCCTCCAAACAGATATAATCGATTGAATAAAGAAGGATGGGTGCAGAAACACATCTCCTTACGAAAGAATTGCAATGGCTTCTGCAGCACCCCCTGCCCCGCTCCTCCCCGAGTGTAGGCTGCACTTGAGGACTTGCTCCCAGAGCACAGACAGGGGAGAAAGTCACTTCACAGCACAGAAAGCTGCACCCACCGCCTTAGCCGAGTGACCCGGGCTAAGGGGACAGTGAGAAATCCTGCCGATGGCCTGGACCTGTGAGATGCTAGGAGGTGAAGGCCACCACTTTGATCTTAAAAACTCATAATACCAGTCTCACCCTGAGAAAAACATCAGACAAACCCAGTGGAGGGATAGAGAGTCTACAAAATATCTGACCAGTACTCCTTGAAGTTACTAAGGACCAAAGGGTCCCAGGTTCGATTCCCAGTCAAAGGCACAGGCCTGGGGTAGGAGGTTCAATCCTGGCCCCGGTCGAGGCATGTGTGGGAGATACCAATTGATGTGTGTCGCTCTCACATCGGTGTTTTTCTTTCCCTCCCTCCCTCCATCTCTTTCACTCTCTCTAAAAATCAATGGGGAAAATATCCTTGGGTGAGGATTAACCAAAAATAAAAAATAAAAATGCAGTGGCCCATGAATAGACAGATTTGCTGGTACAGAGCAGAAGCCACAAAAGCATATATATGTAGTATATGAGAAAATGGCATTTCAGATCTGTGGGATAAGATGAATTATTCAGTAAATGGTGTGAAGACAACTGGGTAACCATCTGGGAAAAGAGGAAGTTGGATCCCTAACATAAAGCCCAGATGGAATCGGATCAAAATGCAAAAACTAAGATCAGGTAAGTATAGAAAGAAGAAATTAAAAGATTACATAAGAAATAATTTCAGCAAGGAAAAGGAAAAAGCAATAACAAAATGGGGAAAATAATGACAAAGCAGGAAGAAAAGGACCAATAACCACACAGAAAAACGGGCACGCCCTGGCAGGTGTCATCCCATGCACCAAGAGGTCGCTGGTTCGAGTCCCACTCGGCACATGCAGGGGTTGCAGGCTTGATCCCGCACAGGGGGTGTGCAGGAGGCAGCCAGTCGATGTTTCTCTCTCATCAATGTTTTCCTCTCTCCCTCTCCCTTCTCTGTTTCTTTTTTTTAAAATATATTTTATTGATTTTTTACAGAGAGGAAGGGAGAGAGATAGAGAGTTAGAAACATCGATGAGAGAGAAACATCGATCAGCTGCCTCCTGCACATCTCCTACTGGGGATGTGCCCGCAACCAAGGTACATGCCCCTGACTGGAATCGAACCCGGGACCCTTCAGTCCGCAGACCAACGCTCAAGAGGGATAGAGAAACTGGTCAGGGCCCTTCTCTGTTTCTTAAAAAAAAAAAATCAGTAAAAACATCTTCTTTAAACAAATATGTATTTTATTGATTTTTTACAGAGAGGAAGGAAGAGGGATAGAGAGTTAGAAACATTGATCAGCTGCCTCCTGCACATCTCCTACTGGGGATGTGCCCACAACCAAGGTACATGCCCTTGACTGGAATCGAACCTGGGACCTTTCAGTCCGCAGGCCGACGCTCTATCCACTGAGCCAAACCGGTCAGGGCCCTTCTCTGTTTCTTAAAAAAAAAAAAAAATCAGTAAAAACATATCTTCTTTTTAAAAAATATATTTTATTGATTTTTTACAGAGAGGAAGGAAGAGGGATAGAGAGTTAGAAACATCAATCAGCTGCCTCCTGCACACTCCCCACTGGGGATGTGCCCGCAACCAAGGTACATGCCCTTGACCGGAACCGAACCTGGGACCCTTGAGTCTGCAGGCTGACGCTCTATCCACTGAGCCAAACCGGTTAGGGCAGTAAAAACATTTCTTTAAAAAATATGGTCACAGGTTTGTTTGTTTGTTTTTTTTTTTTAATATATTTTATTGATTTTTTACAGAGAGGAAGGAAGAGGGATAGAGAGTTAGAAACATCAATCAGCTGCCTCCTGCACACTCCCCACTGGGGATGTGCCCGCAACCAAGGTACATGCCCTTGACCGGAACCGAACCTGGGACCCTTGAGTCTGCAGGCTGACGCTCTATCCACTGAGCCAAACCGGTTAGGGCAGTAAAAACATATCTTTAAAAAATATGGTCACAGGTTTGATTCCGGTCAAGGATACATACCTAAGTTGTAGGCTCGATCTGCAGCCCGGGTCAGGGTGATGCGGGAGGCAACCAATCAATGTGATTCTCTCACATAGATGTTTCTCTCTCTGTGTGTCTCTCCCTCACCCTTCCTCTCTCTAAAAATCAATGGAGAAAAAAAATCCTTGGGTGAAGATTAACAAAAGAGAAATGAGCAAAAATTATAAAGATAGCTCATAGGAAAGGATATACAAATGGCTCAAAAACATACAAATGAGCCCTGGCCACGCAGCTCAGTTGGTTAGAGTGTGTTCCCAATACCTCAAGGTTGTATGTTTGATTCCCACTCAGGGCACATACAAGAATCAACCGATGAATACATCAATAAGTGGAACAACAGGTCAATGTGTTTCTCTCTCTCTTTCTCCCCCTTCTTTCTCTAAAATCAATAATAATGATAATTAAGAAAATAAAACACGAACAGAGGCATGCTTAAAACACAGTCAGATACACTTTTTCACCACCAGTTTGGCACATATCAATACGCTGAGTGTGTGAGGACACGGGGACAGGCATCCATGGCTGGCTGGGAGAACGTAAGCTGGAGAGTGTTTAGCAACAGCCATCAAAATGACAAACCTTTGACCCAGCGATTTCCATCGCAGGCACTGACTGCATATGAAAGTGAACATTCTTTGCAGCATCACTTGTAGTAGCAACACTGCAGACACAACTCAACAGACATCTCGGGGGCACTGGATCCTGGTGGTACCTCCACTCACTGGAAAGCCATCCACTGTTATAAAAAGGCATTAGGACTCTCTGTGATGGACTGATAATGGAAAAGGCTCCAAGATTTAAGCTGCAGAACGGGTGTATTCCATGCTAGCACTTGTGTATAAAAAGGGGGGGGGGGGAACCACGCTAGACACCATTGAATCTCTTTGGAAGGTAACATTGATTTCTTTGGAGAGGAAAAGAAAATTTTTTTTCACTTCTATCCTTTAAGCCACGTGAGTGAATTACCTCTGCAAAACAAGAACTAAAATAGAGAATGTAAAATGCTTACACGCTCTGGCCCAGTCACTCTGGGGCTAGATTCTGCAGCTCAAACAAGGATGTCTGTAGAAGATGTTCAATGCACCGTTGCTGGGACGGGCATCAGATGGAAACAGCCTGAATGTCTGCCAGCTGGCACTGGCTAACGGCAGCCGTCCACACAGGGAGGACTGAAGTGGGTCCATTTGGACAATTAGGTAAGAAAAGCAGTGCAGGTAGTGTCTGGAGTGTGCTCCCACTTGTTTATAAATAACCCGTGGATTTGCTTTCATACGTGCACAGGATATTCCTGGAAGAAACCCAAAATCTAGCAACCAAGGCTGCC